CACGACCCTCAGATTGCGAGTCGAGCGCCTTATCCACCTAGTCATGCCGGGCCTCTTCGTTATGAAAACAAATGTTACACAAGGTTTGTTTCTGTTATTCACAACATGGGAGAGTTATCTTAGCACTAGTATAGAAGCTTGAAAATATAATTAGGCTCAAGTAGATATTTTTATAAAACCTTCTGCTCTTTTTTAGGTCTTTTGGTTAAGTAACCATTTTTTTAGATGCAAAGTATGTAAACAATTTTTTAAGTGAATTAGCAGTTTTAGTTTCTTTACTTTTTATGTTTTAGTGTAAACTATGACAACCTTTTTAAAGACTGTGTGGAAAGAATACTTTATGTTGTGTAGACGGAAGTAGGTGAGCTTTATCTTTCTGCACTAATAATACACAATCAAATGACAAAATATTTATGTTAAAAATTACAGTAACGAGTAAATGTTTTTAAATATTCTCTAGTTTCTTGTAAAAATTAGGGTTTTACTTTGATGAATGTTAAAAATATATTACAACCTTATTATTTAACTATTGAAACATTTTTCACTACTCACTAGATGGCGGTTTCAGCTTTACCTAGTTTCTATGGTCTCCGAGAGTAACGAAGCCTCTTCTGGATATTCACTCTCTGTCGACAACGTTAGTTCGATCTTCTACGCGATTGAACTTAGTAGATTTCGGTTGAAGATGAGCTGGCTGAAGAACAAATTTTCTAGTAGTTGAATCTCGTGTCGAGAATTACAACTATCAATTCAGCGAGATCTAATCTTTCCTTTCATGTTTCTGCCTTGTAAGCTCTAAGGGGTAACTTCTTTCTATAACTAAATTAATGGCTTTTGTACCATGTGCAGTGTGCGAAAGAAAAGCAAAATCTTTAAAAGCTATAATGATAATCACATTGGAGTTAAACGCATCTTATAAGTAATGTTAGAGACAGATCATCTGCATTTCTGAGACTTTCAACTGATGTTCAATGGCTTATAAAAGGTGAGATTAACTTTAACTTAAGGCTTAACAGCAGTCATAGATTAAACTACATTCTGTTTTTCCATTTTATCTTAGTTAATCTTTATATTTATTTATCATTAACTACATGCAGTGGTTTTTTATTTTGTATGTGGTTTCAGAAAGAATTTTTACTGTGAAACCATTAATAGGCTGCGACATATGGAGGGAATTTCTTTTGATAAAAAATGAATCAGACACATGTTTTGAATTGTTAAAATATTGCAATAACGTGTACATACGCAATTTAAATAGAAACGTAATTTTCTCAGAAAATATATCTTGCTATCTATAACTGTCTTAATGCTCTCTATATCAATAGCCACATATTTGTTCTTGTATATCCTTTCTTAACTATAATATGTTAATAAGTAATTCCCAACTATATAGTCTTATGTACATGTTTCTTCATAATATATAATTTGTGTAATTTTTAAATGTATATTCATAATTATCTAATTACCTGTTGTGAACACGCACAAAATTATTCATTATTTATTATTATAAATAATCTTCTGTGTATACATATACATTATCTTTTACCTGTCCATACATGATTATTTTTATTTTACTTATTATCGCCCCCTTGAGTGGCTTAGCGATAAGTCTTAGGGTTTATAGCGCTAAAAATTGCGGTTTGATACCCGCGATGGGCAGAGCACAGATAGTCCATTGTGTAGCTTTGCGCTTAACAACAAACAAACACACAAGTTATTCTCGTTGATACCTTGTCATACTGGCATGTAGAATTTTTTGTTATTTATCAAAATAAAATGTATACTACACACACACACACATATATATAATTTAATCGGTCTTAATGTTGTGAAGTTTTCAGAACTGGGAACAATTGCTTGTAACTGTGAGTGTGTGCTCATTCTTGCGCAAGTAGCTGTTTTTGAGTGCGATTGTTTTCGCTGGTTTAAAGGTGAAAACTCCTCTAATGTCTGAGTTGCTTGCTGAAGGTTTTCATTCATATGATCTTTGTTTTATGTTTCATCAATAATCAGAATTATTCCACATGGGTAATTACGATAGACAAGTTTTTATCGGGGTGGTTAATTACGATAGACAAGTGTTTATCGGGGGTTAATCACGATAGACAAGTGTTTATCGGGGTTAATTACGATAGACAAGTGTTTATCGGGGTTAATTACGATAGACAAGTGTTTATCGGGGTGGTTAATTACGATAGACAATTGTTTATCGGGGGGGGTAATTATGATTCGAAATAACATTCTTTGTTGCAGATGTATAATTTTGGATTTTTTTTCAGAATCTATCGCCCCCCCCCCGGTGGCTCAGCGGTAAGTCTGAGGGCTTATAACGCTAAAAATCGGGTTTCCATACCCGCGATGGTCAGAGCAGAGATACTCCATTGTGTATCTTTGCGCTTAAGAACAAACAAATGTTTTGTATCTTATAATTTGATATTATAGTTTTATTTATTACTTTCTTGCAATTCTAAAAGAAATAATATAAGTAATTGTAATACCTTGTTGAAAAAACAAACAGTAAATGAGTGAGGATGTGCCGTAAAAACATTCTTTCTTTTTGCTGCCTATAGTCAACATTTTACAGAATATCAAAGTTCTTTTCCCACTCTTCGTTTCTACTTTGGTAGTAGATGAAAAAACTCCAATTTCTACTCTTAGTATGTTCAACTTGTTAATACTCTCTTTTCCCACTCTTCGTTTCTACTTTGGTAGTAGATGAAAAAACTCCAATTTCTACTCTTAGTATGTTCAACTTGTTAATACTCTCTTTTCTCACTCTTCGTTTCTACTTTGGTAGTAGATGAAAAAACTCCAATTTCTACTCTTAGTATGTTCAACTTGTTAATACTCTCTTTTCCCACTCTTCGTTTCTACTTTGGTAGTAGATGAAAAAACTCCAATTTCTACTCTTAGTATATTCAACTTGTTAATACTCTCTTTTCACTCTTTTCTTAGTATTCCTAGTAATTCACTTCTAGGGAGAATTTGATCTTGCTGATTTCAAGTAAGGAAAACAACAAGCAAAACATGCCGGCAAAAGTTACTCCCGATAGTGAAAACTTTATCACCTACATAAAAGCTTGAGAGAAAATTAGATGTAGTCAATCGTGTTTCTCAACTTCAGTATCTCATCAATGTAATATATCTATTTATTTTCAGAACATATTGGATTATTGTTATATCACACTTGTAAATCGTAATATTCATGCCAAATGTTATTAGTATCATAAAAACAAGGGTCAGGTAAAATCTTATGTATTATTAAATATTTTGACTGTACCGTTCAATTTAATTGGTTAGTTATTTGCAAAAACAATATTCATAGTGTGATATAATTATTTAGAAATATTCAGTTATTAATCTTAAGCTAACAGATCTTCTATTAATTTCTCCGGTGAAAGAATGATTCTGATTAGTTTCTGATTAGATTAGTGTCATGGCTCAACATAGCAATAATTATTCAAATAAAGTAAAAGAAAATTAGAAATATGACCCCAGATTTTTGTGTTTGGTGACACTAATTATCACATAGTAGTCTTATAAAAATCATGGTGAAAAATGTATCTAATTATTGTTCTTTAAGTATTAAGTGCTTGAACTATGCTGTATTGTTTATTTTAATGTCATCAAGTCCCATTGTTAGCAAATATTCTACATTACTTTTTCAATTCATCAAGCCCATTGTTAGCAAGTATTCTACATTATTTTTTTCAATTCATCAAGCCCCATTGTTACCAAGTATTCTACAATCTTTTTTTCAATTCATCAAGACCCATTGTTAGCAAGTATTCTATATTGTTTTTCAATTCATCAAACACTATTTTCAGTAAGTATTCAACATTGTTTTTTCAATGTCACTAAGTCACATTGATAGCAAGTATCCTGAATTGTTTTCTCAGCTCATCAAGTCCCATTGTTAGCAAATATGCTGCATTATTTTTTTAATTCATCAAGTCACGTTATTGGCAAATGTCCTGCGCTGTTTCTTTCAATGTAATCAAGTCCCACATTATATTACATTGCCACATAACGCTTGTTTTTTGTTATTATTATATGTCTTAGACTGTATTATAATGAATTTTGCTCCATTTTAATTCAAGTTGGATTTGTTGACTGATTTTAGTAACAGCTGCAGAAACTGAAGTTGGTTATAACTGGATCTCATTAGGTAAATCTGATTTATTTCAGTTAGACTTGTAAGACTCGTTCAATTAGACTAAAGATTAGTTCAAAATTTTAATCCTGAGTTATTGTTTTAGAGAAATTCTTATTAAATTGAAATTACCTGCTATAATATTCGAGTAACAATGGTTCCAAAATGATATAGTTACTATGATGTCAAGGATGAAAAGAATTAGAAAGACTGTAGAATATTTAAAATGTAGGTACAGTTTCTTGTTCTTACATTTATCGACGTGTCTGTTTAGGAAGTAGAAGCAATATGAATAAGGAGTTAAACCACACTTAACTTGCTGTTTATCACGTATTAATTTATATTTCAACTAACACTTTAGTTAATTTTCATGAAAAATAAGTAAATTAACACAGCAGAGTGAGTTTGTTTATAATTTTATTTGGACTTAAGTTATGTTATAAAAACACTTTCGTTCCACGGTCTATGTGTTGCAATTGTTTGTGTTTTTCATGCTAAAAGGTAATCTTAATATAATAAAAACCCTAAACATCATATTACGTTTACGCGGAAAATGCAAATCAGTGGGTGGAAATTAAATATAAACAACTGATTTACAGAAAACAGAAGTTTCATTGCATTGAATTAACCTGTGACAGTACACACGATAGTCTATATTTATAGAATTGCATGAGAAATTTAAGGAAAATAACGCATCATTACAGAAAAATTAAGTACTAGATGACCCAAATTAGAGCAAATGAGCTTTTGAATAATAATGTTGTAATTTAGGTTTATATTAATGACTGAACTGGATAAAACAAAATAATTAACAAGCCCAACATAATTATCATTAAATCTACACAAAAACATATTAAATCAATTGTTATGAGAATGAGAGCAAATTGAACTGAAACAGGAGAGAAAAACAGTTACCACGTTACAAAAATATTCATAAAAACAAAATATATTGAATCTGTTACAGTCACTTATCACCACAAAGTAAACTGATCATGTTATAGACAGTTATTCCAACAAAATAAACTGAGCATGTTACAGACAGTTGTTACAACAAAATAAACTGAGCATGTTACAGACAGTTATTACAGCAAAGTAAACTGACCAAGCTACAGACAAATATTATTATAATAAAATAAACTGAGTATGTTCCACACACTTACCTACAGATGTTTTTGTTTTGTTTTTCACCTTTCTCTTAATGTTTTGCGGCTTGAAATCATAGTCAAGTCGCTGCCCAATAAGCTTTTCATTCAATACCAGAACTCATCACTTGGGTTGGATGATAAGGAAAAAAAAAAAGATTCTATGAAACGATATTTATATATGTAGTATAATGCTTTAAAAGTTACGGTTTTAACGCTGAAGGTCAGTGAAATATTAGAAAATCAATATAGGCTTATTGGTTTCCAATGTTTTGCTGGCTTTCGGCGTTTAAACTGTTATTATTACAAAGAATTAACTGAGCATGTTAAAGACAGTTATTATTAAAACAAAATAAATTAAACAGGTTACAACCAGTTATCACAACAATATAAAACTGAACACGTTACAGCCAGTTATTAATACAAAATAAACTGAGCGTACAAATAGTTATTAAGCCTGCAATATAATAACAAAAAACCCAAATGTTCACGTTTTAAAAGCAAAATAAGATAATGTAAATTATAAGAACTTACGAAAAAATATACAAAATGTAAACCACATAACTACATGTCTCTAATAAAAACAAAATAAGATAATCCCCCAAACACAAATTTAAATAACAATAACAAATACCAAACTGAGAAGTTTATTCTATAGTACACCATAGCGTCCATAAGGAACAAAATAAC